ACACACACACACATGATGTGAGAACCGCTATGTCTAACAAGTATCAAACACATACACACATGATGTGAGAACCGCTATGTCTAACAAGTATCAAACACATACACACATGATGTGAGAACCGCTATGTCTAACAAGTATCAAACACAAACACACATGATGTGAGAACCGCTATGTCTAACAAGTATCAAACACAAACACACATGATGTGAGAACCGCTATGTCTAACAAGTATCAAACACACGTGATGTGAGAACCGCTATGTCTAACAAGTATCAAACACACATGATGTGAGAACCGTTATGTCTAACAAGTATCAAACACAAACACACGTGATGTGAGAACCGCTATGTCTAACAAGTATCAAACACAAACACAAACACACATGATGTGAGAACCGCTATGTCTAATAAGTATCAAACACACGTGATGTGAGAACCGCTATGTCTAACAAGTATCAAACACAAACACACATGATGTGAGAACCGCTATGTCTAACAAGTATCAAACACAAACACAAACACACATGATGTGAGAACCGCTATGTCAAACAAGTATCAAACACACGTGATGTGAGAACCGCTATGTCTAACAAGTATCAAACACAAACACACATGATGTGAGAACCGCTATGTCTAACAAGTGTGTCTGTCTAAAAAGACTACAGTCTGTAGAATTAACATCTCAAGCATAAAGACCAGACCGGTTCAAATCCCAGTTCAACCATACTGCCACAGAGCAGTTATTCCGGAGCACCACATACTGTATGACCTTGGCTCCCAGGTCGACCCAGCCTTGAGTGGGTACCGGGTACAGTCCCGGGAAAGTAAAGGCGGCCGGCGTGATGCTGACCACATCACCCATCTTGTGCCGTTGGTCTATAAAAATATAGGTCTAGCCCTATGTGCCCTATACGCCTAGAGGCGTGGAAACGGGTCCTTTACTTTTTGTTTACCACATACTGTTACAAAGTAACATGCAGGTACCTGTCAGTGTGCGTGGGGTAATGTGTTGTATGTGAAGTCTGATGTCAGTCAATTTCGTGGTATTCCTTCACCTGTCGCATGTTGTATGTGAAGTCTGATGTTAGTCAATCTTGTGGTGTTCCTTCACCTGTCTCATGTTGTATGTGAAGTCTGATGTTAGTCAATTTTGTGGTGTTCCCTCACCTGTCTCATGTTGTATGTGAAGTCTGATGTTAGTCAATCTTATGTTGTTCCTTGACCTGTCGCATGTTGTATGTGAAGTCTGATGTTAGTCAATCTTGTGGTGTTCCTTTACCTGTTGCATGTTGTATGTGAAATCTGATGTTAGTCAATCTTGTAGTGTTCCTTCACCTGTCGCTGATGTTAGTCAATCTTATGTTGTTTCTTCACCTGTAGCATGTTTATGGTTTAGTCTGATGTTAGTCAATCTTGTGGTGTTCCTTCACCTGTCGCATGTTGTATGTGAAGTCTGATGTTAGTCAATTTTGTGGTGTTCCCTCACCTGTCTCATGTTGTATGTGAAGTCTGATGTTAGTCAATCTTGTGGTGTTCCTTCACCTGTTGCATGTTGTATGTGAAGTCTGATGTTAGTCAATCTTGTAGTATTCCTTCACCTGTTACATGTTATCTCCTTGCGCCGTTAACTCTGCTGACTGCCCCGTGTCGGTTTTCCTGAACTTTGTGTTTGCTAACCCGTGTGAAGCTTCCTGCCAAAACAGTTGTTCACTTCTTTTTCTTTTTTCGCTGAGCAAATCTTATAGACCCTAAATGTCTGAATATGTGTTGTATTGTCTGTCTGAGCAAACCTTACAGATTCACAATGTCTGATATATGTGTTATCTTGTCTCTCTGAGCAAACCTCACATATTCATAATGTCTGATGTATGTGTTGTCTGTCTAAGCAAATCTCACAGAGTTGGCACGTCTGATACATGTGTTGTCTGTCTGAGCAACTCCCACAAAATACCACCAGTTGACAAACATGATGTTTGAAGTCACCTTGACCCCGACAGATAAATCAAGTGTCAGACTAACCCCCGGTGGCCAGGCCAGCATGGAGACCACAGAACGGGCCATCGTGACGACGACGCCCCCTCCCCTCCTGGTCTAACCACAATCTGCACGTTGCATGTCTGCCAGGGCATTTAAGTATCTGCGGCGTTTTGAGACCGACTTTTTCTACAGGTGAAATTGTTGGGATAACTCGCTGGCTCTTGGCTTCAAGATTGAATCATTTGTCTGTGCTACCTGGAGTTTATGTACAGGTGAAGTGCAGGTGTGTCACAGGTTAGCCTTGTGCATTCGTGCGTGTCTGGTGCAGCCTTTCAACCCTGTTGTTCGGAGCCTGTCTTCAAAGTATGGGCATGTTTCAGGGACGTCCGTTTACTGTTTCTTCTTTTTCTTCACGTTTACCGGTTGTCAACTCTAGTGGAAAGTTCTGGTTGTTCGTCCACTTCTGGACTGTTCCAGAACCCGAGTGTTGCGTGCACATTCGTTTTACAGATCTGAGTCATGTGTATGCAATCCGAATTCCAAAGACGCTGCCAATTAGTTTACTCTTACGACATGCAGTGGGTCTATTCTTGTTTTTCCTACAAAGGGAGCCCAGAAACGCACACAGGGACGTTTACGGTTTCATTTTTTTGTTTGGTAGCAAGCAAGACTTAAAGTTTACTGCTCACACTATGTTGGTGGCGTGACATGTATTGTGTTGTCCTCGTTAGGTCGTAGCTTTGAACCCTAGCACAGAGTTCCAATTTTGTTTCTATTACCATGAGCGTTACTGGAAACGTTTAGTTTGTCTGATGATCCAATACTCAGCTAAACGTCACATATGTCTGTGACATCTAAACGTCCCATATGTCTGAGACAGCTAAACGTCACATATGTCTGTGACAGCTAAACGTCCCATATGTCTGAGACAGCTAAATGTCACATATGTCTGTGACAGCCAAACGTCCCATATGTCTGAGACAGTTAAACGTCCCATATGTCTGAGACAGCTAAACGTCACATATGTCTGAGACAGTTAAACGTCCCATATGTCTGAGACAGCTAAACGTCCCATATGTCTGAGACAGCTAAACGTCCCATATGTCTGAGACAGTTAAACGTCCCATATGTCTGAGACAGTTAAACGTCCCATATGTCTGAGACAGCTAAACGTCACATATGTCTGAGACAGTTAAACGTCCCATATGTCTGAGACAGCTAAACGTCCCATATGTCTGAGACAGCTAAACGTCACATATGTCTGAGACAGCTAAACGTCCCATATGTCTGAGACAGCTAAATGTCACATATGTCTGTGACAGCCAAACGTCCCATATGTCTGAGTCAGTTAAACGATACATATGTCTGAGACAGCTAAACGTCCCATATGTCTGAGACAGCTAAACGATACATATGTCTGAGACAGCTAAACGTCACATATGTCTGAGACAGCTAAAATCGCGCCTGTCTTTGACAGCTAAACGTCTCATATGTCTGAGACAACTAAAATCGCGCCTGTATGAGACAGCTAAACGTCACATATGTCTGTGACAGCTTAACAACATAAATGTCTGTGACAGCTTAACGTCACACATGTCTGAGACTACTAAAATCGCGCCTGTCTGTGACAGCTAAATGTCACATATGTCTGAGACAGATCTAACTGTTACAGCTCACTCGAAATCCAAATGTTACAAAAATAAACCACACACACATTAGAGAGGGGGAGGAGGAGAGATTGAGAGAGAGAGAGAGAGAGAGAGAGAGAGAGAGAGAGAGAGAGAGAGAGAGAGAGAGAGAGAGAGAGAGAGAGAGAGAGAGAAGTTTCAAAAATGACATTGGCTCCTATGCAGACCACAGGTACCGGGTAAGTCAAGGGAAGTAAAGGGACTGATGTTGATGTTGAACACATCAGGCCCTGAAAATATCGGTCTATAACATATAGGTCAGACACTAAATGCACGGGGCCGCGTTAGCGCAGTCGATAAGAGCCTCTAGAAAATGGTTACCAGAGTTCATTCTCTGGGGTAAATGGAGGAACGTCGCTGTAGCTATGGAGTTACGTGCGGACGGCGACACAGGCGGAAAATTCTTATCAGCTGTCCGCAGTGGTGGCAGAGCACTTATGGTGTATAACCGTGTGCAATGAGGCTGGTTCACATCTCCTGACTTTACCTTTACTATATGCCCACTGCGCCTGAAAGCGTGAAGAAAAGTCCTTTGACACACACAGAGAGAGAGAGAGAGAGAGAGAGAGAGAGAGAGAGAGAGAGAGAGAGAGAGAGAGAGACCGAAATATAGAGAAAGAGAGATGGGGTGAGAAGAACATCTTCGCATTTCCCGGTTGGATTCCGTGTGAGTCGTCTCCACCCACACAATAGCTGTCTGCTGAGGTTACAACATTAAACTCAGCAGTCCTAGCAACGAACCTCAATAACAGCAGAACCAAACCCACAGCCTCCTGAGCGTGAGACTCACTGCCTAACCCCCTGGCCACACTGACCCCACATAATAACACACACATACAGAGAAAAACACAACTGAGGCTTACTGCCTAACCATCTCGCCACACAAACCCCCACACAATGACACAGACTCCACACAATGACACAGACCCCACACAATGACACAGACCCCACACAAGACATAGACCCCACACAATGACACAGACCACACACAATGACACAGACCCCACACAATGACACAGACTCCACACAATGACACAGACCCCCACACAATGACACAGACCCCACACAAGACACAGACCCCACACAATGACACAGACCCCACACAATGACACAGACCCCACACAAGACACAGACCCCACACAATGACACAGACCCCACACAATGACACAGACCACACACAATGACACAGACCCCACACAAGACACAGACCCCACACAATGACACAGACCACACACAATGACACAGACCCCCACACAATGACATAGACCCCACACAATGACACAGACCCCACACAATGACACAGACACACAGAGAGAAAACCACAATTGAGGCTTACTTGACAGAGTATCCCTTCCACTTGACCAGGTATTCCACCTTTCCCTTCAAACAGAACAAACATGATTACATTTACAATGTACAATTTATGCAGGCCAAATACATGCACGCGTAAATGTTTTAATGCTTCATTATCATCTAGCAGGTCCTTTGCAGAACGTCGCTCTCATCACGGTCTGTCTGACAGAAACCAGAACGTTGCTCTTATCACCGTCTGTCTGACAGAAAACAGAACGTCGCTCTTATCATGGTCTGTCTGACAGCAAACAAAACGTCGCTCTTATCACGGTCTGTCTGACAGAAACCAGAACGTCGCTCTAATAACGGTCTATCTGACAGAAACCAGAACGTGCTCTTATCACGGTCTGTCTGAGAGAAACCAGAACGTGTTCTTATCACGGTCTGTCTGAGAGAAACCAGAACGTCGCTCTTATCATGGTCTGTCTGAGAGACACCAGAACGTCGCTCTTATCACGGTCTGTCTGACATAAACCAGAACGTCGCTTTGCATAAAAGAAACACTACCTCATGCAACTTTGAACCCAAGGAGTCATATTCTGAGGCCGTCTTTGCGCAGGTCGGCCCCTGCCCCTCCTTCGTGATAGGTTTTCCGTTATTATTCATTTCAAATTTCCCCCACAATGGGGCCCCGGAACCCACACAGTTAACTCCGGTCATACATTCTCAGACCGATGGTCGTTCGCCTGTGGAGGTGACCGTTTAATCTGCGTCGTTAGAACGACGCTATCTACCTTGACATGCGGGAACATACTACTTCTATACTCTGTTGAACACCTTGACATGCGGGAACATACTACTTCTATACTCTGTTGAACACCTTGGCATGCGGGACCATACTACTTCTATACTCTGTTAAACACCTTGACATGCGGGAACATACTACTTCTATACTCTGTTGAACACCTTGACATGCGGGAACATACTACTTCTATACTCTGTTGAACACCTTGGCATGCGGGAACATACTACTTCTATACTCTGTTGAACACCTTGGCATGCGGGAACATACTACTTCTATACTCTGTTGAACACCTTGACATGCGGGAACATACTACTTCTATACTCTGTTGAACACCTTGACATGCGGGAACATACTACTTCTATACTCTGTTAAACACCTTGACATGCGGGACTATACTACTTCTATACTCTGTTGAACACCTTGACATGCGGGACCATACTACTTCTATACTCTGTTGAACACCTTGACATGCGGGAACATACTACTTCTATACTCTGTTGAACACCTTGACATGCGGGACCATACTACTTCTATACTCTGTTGAACACCTTGACATGCGGGAACATACTACGCCTATACTCTGTTGAACACCTTGACATGCGGGACTATACTACTTCTATACTCTGTTGAACACCTTGACATGCGGGAACATACTACGTCTATACTCTGTTGAACACCTTGACATGCGGGACCATACTACTTCTATACTCTGTTGAACACCTTGACATGCGGGACCATACTACTTCTATACTCTGTTGAACACCTTGACATGCGGGACCATACTACTTCTATACTCTGTTGAACACCTTGACATGCGGGACCATATTACTTCTATACTCTTTTGAACACCTTGACATGCGGGACTATACTACTTCTATACTCTGTTGAGCACTTTGACATGTGGGACTATACTACTTCTATACTCTGTTGAACACCTTGACATGCGGGACCATACTACTTCTATACTCTGTTGAACACCTTGACATGCCGGACCATACTACTTCTATACTCTGTTGAACACCTAGACATGCGGGACCATACTACTTCTATACTCTGTTGAACAACTTCAGAGGTCAATCCCCCGTAAGGGCTGGGATTTTTCTCCTGGGCCTGGACTTCTTGTAATTCCCCCCTGGTCTCTGGGTAGTGAGATCAGGCGCCCGTGTGCATTAACGAGCACGTAAAAAAAATCCCATGGCAGTTGGAAATCGAACAAAGTAGCCTGAAAGCGCTGCCCGGGCGTGTGCCATGATGTTGATCCGCTGTTCAAACCTCAAACAACATTCTGCTTTAAAACGCTGCAGGTTAGCCTACCCAACGTCCTATAACATACACTTACACGCTACAACATACGTTCACACGCTACAACATAAGTCCGCACGCTACAACATACGTCCACACGATACAAAATATGTCTACACGATACAAAATACGTCCACGCGTTACAAAATACGTCCATACGATATAAAATACGTCCATACGATACAAAATACGTCCACACGTTACAACATACATCCACACTGTGACATACGCCCACACTGCAACATACGTCCACATATTGCAACATACGCCCACACATTGCAACATACGACTACACACTGCAGCATACGTCCACATATTGCAACATACTTTCACACATTGCAACATACTTTCACACCTTGCAACATAAGTCTACACATTGCAACATACGTCTACACATTGCAACATACGTTCACACACTACAGCATACGTGCAGACGCTGTAACACACCATAAACTATGGGGGGGAAAAAACTGAGGTGGCACAGACTGAGCACAAACACCAACTGACACAACCCGAGCGCAAACACCAGCTGGCACAATGAGACGAGAAAGGCTGGGAACAAGCACGAAGTGACATAATGCAATGACAGACTGAGCACAAAACACCAAGTAACAAACTGACATGTATATCTTTCTGACACAGTCTGAGCACTATCTCCTGTGCAGTTGCTATCGTGCTGTAATCGCAACGACTGTCACCAATACACACAACCAACTTCTCAGCTGTGGGTATAACATGCACTTTATCAGTTATCTCTCTCTCTCTCTCTCTCACTCTCTCTCTCTCTCTCTCTCTCTTCTCTCTTTGTCTTTGTCTTTCTCTCTCACTCTCTCTCTCTCTCTCTCTCTCTCACTCTCTCTCTCTCTCTCTCTCTCACTCTCTCTCTCTCACTCTCTCTCTCTCTCTCTCTCTCACTCTCTCTCTCTCTCTCTCTCTCTCTCACTCTCTCTCTCTCTCACACTCTCTCTCTCTCGGTGTCAGTTGTTGGTTGATTCCTTATGTGTTACACACACCCACTCACGCGCGACTCGTCACACACAGCCACTCACGCACGACTCGTCACACACCCACTCACACCCGACTCGTCACACACACCCACTCACGCCTGACTTGTCACACACACCGACTCATGCCCGACCTCACACACACACCCACAAACGCCCGACGCACTACATACACTCACTAACGCCCGTCTCGTCACACATACCCACTCACGCCCGACTCGTCACACATACCCACACACAACTTGTTAAGGTCTCCTACATCTGGCGACTATATACATGGTATCGCTTGTCTGCCCCCTAGTGGTAGCAGATTAGAAAGTAAGTTTAAACCTGTAGATTGAACTGGTGTGTCAGGTCACCTCAGCCTAAAATAAGTCTAAACTTGTAGATTGAACTGGTGTGTCAGGTCGCCCCAGGCTAAAATAAGTTTAAACCTGTAGATTGAACTGGTGTGTCAGGTCACTCCAGCCTAAAATAAGTTTAAACCTGTAGATTGAACTGGTGTTTCAGGTCACCCCAGGCTAAAATAAGTTTAAAACTGTAGATTGAACTGGTGTTTCAGGTCACCCCAGCCTAAAATAAGTTTAAACCTGCAGATTGAACTGGTGTTTCAGGTCACCCCAGCCTAAAATAAGTTTAAACCTGTAGATTGAACTGGTGTGTCAGGTCACCCGAGGGTAAAATAAGTTTAAACTTGTAGATTAAACTGGTGTGTCGGGTCACCCCAGGCTAAAATAAGTACCGGTAAATATCAAGAAAATTGTGTGTCAGCTGGTCTCTTGCAAATGGGAACACCGACCATCTTCTTGTTGTCCCTCTGGAGTCCTGTTCTGCCTTTCAGATTCTGATGACTGATTACAGATTTAAGAATCGACATCATAACACACCGGGAATAGCCATCGGTGCTCCTTCTTCCGAAGCAATATCTTAAGGTGTAGATGCTAACTGTTTCCGTAGCACACTGATTACACACACGTCGTTCTCTTCCTCTCATCCGTCCCTTTTTGCCAGATCCACACTTAATTCCTCGATCACACATTCTTGCACAAGTTATTTCATCTAATCTTCTGCCTTCTGTCAACAGTCATTCATATATGGTCTTCAAAACATCTCCCATGTCCAGTACGAGTGTTCCCGTAGCTTTCGCTTTTGTAACCACTTCTAACAAATTGGGTGACTACAAAATCCCTCCAAAACACACATACACAGAGCGAAAGAAAGTGGGTGACAACAAGATCCCTCCAGAACACACATACACAGATCGATAGAAAGTGGGTGACAACAAGATCCCTCCAGAACACACATACACAGATCGATAGAAAGTGGGTGACTACAAGATCCCTCCAGAACACACATACACAGAGCGATGGGCAGACAGAGAGCAGAGGGAGTAGAAGGCCGTTCAACCAGAGCAGCCAGTAAAGACATCAAGGTACCTCTAGAATAGAATGTGGGAGACAGCAAGATCCCTCTAGAACAGAGTGTTAGAGACAGCAAGATCCCTCTAGAACAGAGTGTTAGAGACAGCAAGATCCCTCTAGAAGAGAATGTGGGAGACAGCTAGGTCCCTCTAGAAGAGAATGTGGGAGACAGCTAGGTCCCTCTAGAAGAGAATGTGGGAGACAGCTAGGTCCCTCTAGAAGAGAATGTGGGAGACAGCAAGGTCCCTCTAGAAGAGAATGTGGGAGACAGAAAGGTGCCTCTAGAAGAGAATGTGGGAGACCGCAAGGTGCCTCTAGAACAGAGTGTGGGAGACAGCAGCGTCCCTCTAGAACAGAGTGTGGGAGACAGCAGCGTCCCTCTAAAACAGAGTGTGGGAGACAGCAGCGTCCCTCTAAAACAGAGTGTGGGAGACAGCAGCGTCCCTCTAAAACAGAGTGTGGGAGACAGCAGCGTCCCTCTAAAACAGAGTGTGGGAGACAGCAAGATGCCTCTAAAACAGAGTGTGGGAGACAGCAAGATCCCTCTAGAACAGA